ACTTTATTCAGAGGCAGTGTCACTGCAGATGTAATTAGTTAAGATGAGGTCACATCTCATCTTAGGTGATGTAATTAGGGTGGACCCTAAATCTAATGATTGGTGTCTTGATAAGCAGAGAGGCCACATAGGAAGAAAGAGGTGAATTTTGGAGTTGTACTGCTACAAGCAAGGAGCACCAAAGGTTGCTGGAGCCTTCAGAGGAAGCGTGGTCCCTTCAATGCCTTGATATTGAACATCTAGTCTCCAGATCTGTAGAGAATAAATTTCTACTCATTAAGCCACAGTTTGTGCTCATTTATTATGGAAGCCCCGGGAAACTAACACAAAGTAAATGTGCTTCCTGGGCAGAGGGTAAATAGCTGACGTTGATGGGTGATGAGTTTCAGCTGATACTTTTTGCACCTAAGCAACTCCAGAACAAATGGCTAGTACTAGCAGAAAGAGATGGTGGCTGTGTTTGTTGCTATGACAAAATACCTGAGAAAAACAAATTAAAAGGAATTAAGATTTACTTTGGCTCATAGTTTCAGAAGTTTCAGTCCATGATTGCTTGGCTCCATCACTTTGGGCCTGTGGCAAGGCAGGATGTTATGGTGAAAGTGTGTGGTGGGGCAAAGTTGCTCATCTCATGGAGACCAGAAAGCATAAAAAAGGTTCAAGTCCTAATACACCTTTCAAGGATATGACCCCAATGATCTACTTCATCCTACTAGGCACACCTCTTAAAAGTTTCCACCACCTCCCAATAGTGCTATCAGGCTAGCAACCAAGCCTTAAGCACAGAGCTTTTGGAGAACATTTAAGATCCAAACCATAACAGTGGCTAATGGGGACAAATGAGAAAAATGGGGCCAGTCAAATGGTAAATGCAGGGAGTTGGTGGCCAAACTTAGACACCCTAATTTTCACAGAGGGAAAAACAATGTTATTGGAAAATGCATGTGGAATTGTAACCTCATAACATACATGATCTTTACACACTCTTGCCTTCCATTTTTTAAAGTGGGAAATGGCAAGGATGAAAATCCAATCTCAGAGGAAGAAGGACTGAAGAAAAACTGTGAGGGTTCTTTCCACCTCAGCCATTCCACCCTTAGCTCCATGTCTTTTTACCGGCCCTTGTGAGAATGGTACTCTATTGCTTCATGTCTTATCTCTACCAGCTGATATTCCTGGACACAATGATGTTAAATGTATCTTACTCTAGCCCTGATCTTCAGAAGGTTTTATTTTATTGTGTTTCTCTGAGATCACAGGTCAGATATAAGTTATAAGGATATTTTTTTCTCATGAGATGTTTTAATATTGCTTTAGCTTTTCCTTTCAACATCACAGTATCTCACTGACATTTAAAAAATGTATTTATTTATTTTTGGCAGAGTACTGGAGTTTGAATTCAGGGCCTCATATTTACCAGGCCACTTGAATCACTCCGCCACCCTATTTGCTGACATTTTAAATTCAAGAGGAGGTCCCAGTATCTGTTGTAGTCAATGAAATGCCTAAGGTGCTCTTAGCACTCACTGGATACTAAACAGAAGTAAAGATCTGGGGACCCCCTGGACTGTTTATTGCTCAAGGTCAGTCTGAAAACAGTTTGACATGGCCACTAAGAAAAGGAGAAATAATAATTGCTCTATATAGGCCCAGGCTAGAAAAAGAACTCTGAATTTCTTTATTTTTTGTGCTTTTTAATCCAGTTGGATCGTACCAATTTACAGATAAGTATGTTTAGAAAGATGTAAGTTTAGGCTACTAGACAATGGGGTAAAAGCTTGTCAGGTAGAATATAATTAGGTATGTAAACAAGTACTAATCAAACATGTTCATTTTTAAGATGTAAATTAAACACGATTATAATTACTCTGAATTTAAAACATTCCAGACAGGTCTTAATTTCTAAAACCTTTCAAAGGACATTAAAAAAATGCTTCCATTAAACTTACATAGAATAGAATTCTCTAAAGAATGTTTTCTATAATTGTTAATACATTATTTCTACTGCTTCTTTAATTATATTATCACATTCCCTAATTAACTTTAAAGTATAATCTTAACTCCAGTCTTAGTACTGAACATGGCAGAAGTACCTTATTATGGTAGGTATATCTTCTATTAGGCAGTACTACTTTTCAATTTGATTATTTTATAATTTAGCAGGTATAAATTTGAACATACAGATTATATCTTTTGAAAAAGTGGTGTCCTGGTTTTAAATTAAGTATTAGCATTAACAGTACAGTAATCAGTTTGGAAGTTAATTATGAAAGAATATAATATATCAACACTAAAATTATTCTATTCATTTTTTCTAAGTTAGTCTGAGAGGAAAGAACAGTTTCTTCTGTTTTCCAAATTATTTACAATGATTGATTATATATTTTAATCTTTACCAAGAACTGCATAACACTTCCATACCCATAGCAACTGGGAAAAATAATTTCTACACTCAGATGCTTTATTAATAAATTAACATGTAGTTGGAGTTCAGGTGACAGAAATGGCAAAAGCAGCTTCAATAGAGAGGAACCAAACTGAATTGAGCCACAGAGACTGAAGGTCTCTCTTTCTCTCCTTGGTCACACGTCCAGAGCTGAGTCATCATGCACAGAGCCTACAGTCTACTCTATAGATTCCTAAAAAGGTGATGCATAAATTGAGTTTTTAAAGTATTCATTTTAATTCCCTATTGTTTAATGGAAATTATTTGGTTTCTTGCTTATGCTGGGGTAATCATTCCCTACTCCCAACAACTTGAAAACACAAAATTCATAGGCTACTTCTGAATTTGGAGGAAATTCTAACATGAATTATACATTCCCAGACCAGTCATTGAATAGGGGTCACTATTATTTCAAACACAAACTTAACAGTATGACCTATCGGAACTTAGAAACCCTAACTTAGAAAAATAAAAGCCAAAAGCACAGCTACCATTTGCCTTGTTCTGAATGTGACTCCATGGATGTCACCGTCAAGCAGCATAAAGTTGAAACACCATGTGCCTTTCCTCAGCACATATGACCACATCCTGCACCAGCAGCATTTTCTGTCCCTGTGGTTAAAAACTGGCACAAATTAATGTATAGCTCGGCAGAGCAGGAATGTGAGTTGAAGCTGTGATTTGAATCTCAGAAGTTTTAGACAAAGAACAACATTTCTTGGCCTTGAGCAAACAAAGACAAAAGAGAAACTATTTTCTTTTCTTCTCCCAAGAAACACACACACACACACACACACACACACACACTCTTAAGCTAGTGTTTTCATTTAGTTATTCAGCAAATATTTACTGCACATTTACTACCTACCAGTGAAAAAGATACCCAAAATGTCAGTGAAGGGTGAAAGAGAAAGACAATAAATGAACAAATAAAATTCCAAAATTATCTTTGGTAGGTGTCAGGCAGAGAATTAAAATGGGTATTGTGTTAAAATAGAGAATGGATTGTCAGGGAAATCCTCTCTGAAGAAATTATATTTTGGATGAGATCTGAGTGATGTTCATAAAGCAATAGTAATTAGATTTTTCAACATAATTTTCATCATTAAATGTGAGCAGTATAAATATAAAAATGGTGCTCAAAATTCAGACACACACATCCAAAAAGCTTGAACATAAGTATTCCATAATGCTAATACAGCATTTTACTTTTGGGTGGTAGGATAGAGGTGAATTTTTCTTTTTGCTTTCTACTTTAATGAGCTTTCCAAACTGGGATAATACAAAGATATATTTGATCTCTGTTACTGTTCCCAGTTCTGGACATAGAACTCCTAAAATTCTTGCAATTTCCTTAGTGATAGGAGTATATTTTGCTATTCATAACAAGCCCCTTTCGGTAGCACCTGAATTTATTCTAATGAGGTGACTTAGGCTGGGGCCTGTGGATGGCCTCAGAATGGGGGCTAGTAACCAAAGAAATCAAGTAATCAGAGGGCTGGAACATTCAGACTCACCCAATGACCTCTGGGAAGTGGGAGGAGGGAGCTGGAGATTGGGCTGTACAAAAGCTCTAGCGCAATGAGATTCAGCGAGCTTCCAGATCAAGGAACACATGCAGGTGCTAGAAGGGTGGTATGCCTGGCGACGGTATATACCATGTCCTCTTCCCCCCATACCTTGTCCTATGCAGCTCTTTCATTTGGCTGTTCCTAAACTGAATCATTTATAATAACCCAGCATGGTAAGAGAAATGCAATTTCCTGAGTTCTGTGATTCACTGTAGCAAACTATCACATTTGGCGATTTATGGGAAACCCTGGATTTGTCTAGATTATATAGAAATATCAGTAACCTGATTACTGATGTTTGAAGTTGCAGTAGTCTTACCTGTAAGTCTGACCTAACTCTGGGAATTAATATCAGAACTGAATTGAATTACTAGAACCCAACAACTGAATTGTCTGGAAAATTGGTTGTAAGTGTTAGAAAGCACCCAGAATTGGTGTCAGGAGTGGGATATGATAGCTCAGCCACAGAAACATGTGGTTTGGAAAGAAAAAGGATGAAAACACGGGGGGGGGGGTGGATAAGGAAACTGATTCCTAGATGGCTATATGGTCACCTGTGGTATGGAGTGGCAGCTATGCTGTGATCAACTAAGTACTAAAGATAAAAATTACCAGTGGAACTCAGAAACAGACCCAACCTCTCAGGAGATGGTTCATTGGATGTATAAGGAAATGCAAACTAATAAGAAAAAAGTGAGAATTGGCAAACTGGTTTTCTATAATGAACATGTATTACTCTTGCAGTGGAAAAAATTAAAATAAACATTTAAAAATGAAATTAATATAACTTGAACACTGAATGAACGTCTTAAATTCTCAAAGTTTACTGATATGGAAAAATTAAATGCAAATATTTGTGAAATGAACAAATCTGAATCCCTTCTCATTAAATCCACAAATGCAAGTTTTCCTTGGAGAGCTGATTTCTTTTTCATACTAAGCCTTAACCATATCTAGGTTTTACTCTGAACAGTATGGCTCACCTCCTGTATCTTCATCTTCATTGTTTGGGGCTTCTGCACTGTCCGCGTTTTCTATTTCATGTGGCTTGGTTAAACTGTAGTCACTCAAAACGGCTGGCCTTTCTAAAAGACAAAAAGAGTACACAATCAACTTTAAAGGATTTTTATAAATGTGTATTAAGTTCAGCTTCACTGACTCCTTTAGTGATAAACAGTGTCCTCTTCAGATATACATACACATACACACATACCCAAAAGTGACATGTGAAAACCCTTCAAGTTTAGAACTATGCACAGGGTTTATGCATCCTTCCATTACATTCAGCTTTCTCAAATAGTTCTTTCATCTGAGTTATTCTTTCTTTCTTGGTGTATCTCACAATATGCAGTAGGATGCTATTGCTATTATGTCCAAGGAGTATTAATATGTAATTATGAGAAATATTGATCCTGAAAATACTGGTATAACCCAATCTGGGAAAAATACTTTCTTAAGCAGAAGCCTGTAAACTTCTGTATATCAAATCCTATTTTCCCCTTCTGTTCACATCATAAGTGTGATTCTGTGGGAAACACACTGAATCTCAAGTTCCTTTATTTCTTTGAACATTTACTAAATGCTGACAAGGCTATGGATATTAATAAGTCATTATGCCTATCCTTAAGGAGCTTACACTCTGCAGATTTAGGTAAGGGAATCAATTTCTCAGTCTTCATGCAAGGCAGACTCAGACAAGGGATGGAAGGAAATAGTGTTATGGGAGTTCATAGGAGAAAAGGAGCTGACATGATAGAAGCAAGCTTAAGTAAACAGTAAGCTCGTTAAAGCCAAGTTTAAGGGAAATATAATGTTGTATAACACATATTAATTATACTAGAAATCAGAGAAGAGAACATAGCCACTGGAATTATTTTAATATATAATAGCTTAACAAAAGGGTGATAGCAAAAGAAATTAGCTGAGAAGTTGTTTAGTTTCTATTAAACTCCTTCACAAAATTTAATAAAATAGTTACTGACTACCTACTAATGCAACAAGTAGTCAAAGACCCTTGATTCTGTGGCATTTAACCTGAGCCAAAGTAGAGGAGGTGACTAGAAATTCTGCACTGGAATTCCTTTCAGATGCAACCATGACCAAGCTATGGAGCAGGGCACTGACTAGAATGCAGGGGTAAAATAGAAACATACTTTACAACATCCATGACTAAGAAGCCTTCATAACGGCCACCAAGGATTCATTTTTTATTATGAATACCTAAATATTGTAATTTTTATGAACTGTAAGATACTATTCTCAAGTGGTTTGCTTTTCTCAAGACTGAAATGATAACAAATAGTGCATACCTGTACAATTCAGATGAGGTTTAGGTTCAGTTAATTGTGAGGTTACAACTCACAGTAACACAAAAAGGCACTTAAGTGATAAAGGTTAGAAGTTTTGATTCAAAGTGAATTAGTTGATGGAGAAAGCATAGAATTTATTTTTAGGAAATAAATTACTTTAAATATTTATAGTTTATTCTGTAGCAAGAGTCAGTGAGTTATGGCCCGAGAGTCAGGACTAACTATGGCTTGTTCTATATGGGCCCAGGAAGCAGGGATGTTTTTTACATTTTTAAAAGGTTTTTAAGTACAAAGAATATGAAACAGACACCATCATCTGTGACCTGCAAAGGCTAAAATATTTATTATCTGACTCTTTATGAAAAAAAAATTTCCACACTGGGGGATGTAGCTGAAGTGGTAGTGTGCCTGCCTAGCAAGTGCAAGGCGCTGAGTTAAAAAAAAAAAGTTTGCTGATTGCTGACCACTGTTCTAGAGTGAACCACAAGTCATTTAAATCCAAGCTACTATATTATTCAACAAAATCTATATTTATTGAGACCAGTCAGTTGAAAAATAAAAAGAGAAAAAGACCAGTGATCAATGTAGGTAGAGTGTAATTTGACCTTACGATGTTAAAGAATTTATGTAATCTAAACAGATGAGTTATTTTAACAACAAGAGACAACCACGTATTTTTTAAAAAAAAATACTTTCATAGCTTTTTTACTACAACCACAATAAGAGCACTCCTCTTTCTTTGGTATTTTCTGTAAAGATAGGTTTCCAGTGAGGAAAGGTAATGTTACCTGCAGGTACTGGCTGCTCCTCAGGGCTTTTCAGTTCCATATTTGGTTGTATATCTAAAAAGAAAGAGGTATGAATATTAGACACATTTTCACAGCTTTGAGCATTCCAACTTTGATAAAGATATTATTTTGGAAAACGTAGTAGCAGAATTTCTCTTTCAGAGCAGGATTTCATTTATTTCCTTTATGTTCTCCCTAAAAGTGCCTTAAGAATGACAAGAATCATTGATGAAGCACTATTACTCTGAGAACTTTATGCCAAAGATCTACTTATACCAAGAACAATGACCAAAAAACTGGGTCTTCATAGAATTTCAGGTATCTTTTATTTTTCCCCCAATACTTTATTATGAACCTTTTCAAACACGTAGAAAGAAAAGTTAAAAGAATTACGCAGTGAACACTCATTAATCCCTAACTAGGTTCTGTGATTACATTATACTATCCCCTTTATCTCAGATCTTTCTACCTACTCACCACTCTATCCATTCATCAATCTATCTTACTTTTCTGATGGATTTCAAAAGAAGGTGCAGATATCAGTGTACTTCATCTTTAATACTTCAGCATACGCATTACTAACTAGAATTTTGTATTTGCTTACAATTTTTTTTTATGTAAGCAGGGGCTTGCTCTGTAGCCCAGGTTGGCCTAGAACTCACAATCCTACTAACTCAGTCTCTCTAGTGCTAGGATTACTGGTATGCATTACCACATCTGATATGTGTCACCATGTTTGCAAGACTTTTTAAGGTAAAATGTATATACAATGAAATATACAGATCTTAAGTGTATCACTCAAGCACTTTTAAGAATGCATATCCTTGCATAATAAAAATCTCTATCAAGAGTTGGACATCAGCAATACCACTGCTAGGGATATACCTGAAGGAATGTGAGTCAGGCTACAACAAAAGCGCCTGCATGCCTGTGTTTATTGCAGCACTATTCACAATAGGTAAGCTATGGAAACAGCCAGGATGACCCACTACTGACAAATGGATTAAAGAAATGTGGTGTTTATACACAATGGAATTTTACTCAGCCACAAAGAAGAATGAAATTTTGTCATTCACAGGGAAATGGATGGAATTGGAGAATATTAGTTTAAGTGAAGTTATCCAGGCTCAGAAGGCCAAAAGCTGCATGTTCTCCTTAATATGCAGATTGTAGACCTAAAATAAATGCAGCAATATTATGGGACACAGGTCACACTAAGGGGAGGCTGTGTAAGGGAGGGATAGGGCAAGGGAAAGAAACGAAAAATTTAAATGAGGTTGATGTGCTCACTGTGCAGGAATGAGTATAGAAATTTTAAACTGGTCAGGGCCACCATGGGAAGCAGACTGGAAAAGGCAAGTCAATTGGAGCTGTAATACACATATGCATGGGAACAACACAAGGAAACTCCCTGTGTAGTTATCTTTATCTCAAACTAGCAAAACCTAATGTTTCTCTGTTTATCTTTTATGTTTTTTCCTTCTACAAAATAGAAGAGCAGGAGGCAGAACCTCACCTGGGGAAGGGGGGGGTTGGTATTGGTGGGAGAGGGGGTGGATAAGGTGTAGGAGGATGTATATGGTGCAAACAATGTATACCCATGTATGTAAATGCAAAAATGATACCTGTTGAAACTGTTCCAGGAATCAGGGGAGGGGGAATGGGGAAGAGAAGTGTGTGGGAGATTCAAATATAATGTATTTGAAACATTGTAAGAACCTTTGTAAATGCTACAATTTACCTACACCCAGCACAATAATAATAATAATAATAATAATAATAATAACCTTGAAAAAAAAGAGCCAGACACAGGGTACACACCTATAATTCCAGCTTTTGTGAGGCCGAAGCAGGAAGATTGCAAGACTGAAATCCTGACTCCAAGGAAAGAAGGAATGAGGGAGGGAGTGAGAAGGAGAAAGGGAGGGAGGGAGGGAGGGAGGGAAGAAGGAAGGAAGGGAAGAAAGAAAGAAAGAAGGAATTCTTATCAAGACAGAATATTACCATCATTCCAGAAAAGTTCTCTCATGACCCCACCCAAATATTATAGAAGCTGTTTTGATTTATTTCAATCATACATCAGTTTAGCCTACTCTAGAATTCTGTAAAAAATGCGATCGTGGGTGGGAGGAGGAGGGAAGGAGCCAGGGGGAGGGGAAGAAATGACCCAAACAATGTATGCCTATATGAATAAATGAATAAAGAAAAAAATGGAATCGTACAGGCATATGGTGTGATTTTTTTTTTGCCTGAGGATTTCTTTTTTGGCCATACTGGAGTTTGAAGTCAGGGCCTCAGGCTTTCTAGGCAGGCGTTCTACTGCTTGAGCCACTCCACTAGCCCTTTTTGTGTTGGGTATTTTCAAGATAGGGTCTCATGAACTATTTGCCAAGGCTGGCTTTGAACCTCGATCCTCCTGATCTCTGCCTCCTAAGTGGTTAAGATTACCTGGATGAGCCACCTGCACCGAAGGCTTCTTTTAATTCAATATAATGTTTTGCCCTTTTTTTTTTTTTTGATGGTGCTGGGGATGGAACCAAGGGCATCACACTTGCTAGGCAAGTGCTCTGCCACTGAGCTATAACCCTAGTCCAATGATGTTTTTGAGATACAGTCTTCCTATGATGCTTATTAGTAATTCATTCTTTTTTTAAAGTAGTATTCCTCTATATGCATACACCAATTTCTTTATCCATTCTCTTGTTGAGGGACATCTAGACTGTTTCCTTTTGGGGACATCATGACTAAAACTACTATGATATTGCTTTTCAAAATAATAAACTTAGATTTCAGCTTTAAATTTACAGAAAAGTTGTGAAGATAGTGCAAAGAGTTCTCATATAATCAATACTCAGTTAACATATTAGTATGGTATATTGTTACAATTAATGAACAAATACTGATATACCATCATTATTTAACTATTTGGATTTCCTTAGTTTTCATCTAATGCCCTTTTTGTCTCAGGATCTCGCGTTACATTTAGTTTTCATGTGTCCTTAGGTTCCCTTGGTTGTGATAGTGTTTCAGACTCTCCTTATTTTGATGACCTTGATGAGGTGTACTAGTCAGGTACTCTGTAGACTAGCTCTGAATTGGGATTTGTTTTTCTCATGATTACACTGAGGTATGATCATTCTTACAAGTTTTTCTGTCTGGGCACAATACCATTAATCCTAGCTACTTGGGAGGACTGCTGTTCTAAGCCAGCCCAGGCAAAAAGTTTGTGAGATCCCATCTCCACAAATAAGCATAGTGTTTCATGTCTGTTATCCCAGCTACTCGGTGGTATAAATAGGAGGATCACAGTCCAAGCCAGCCCTGGCAAAAACTTGAGACCCTTTTTGAAAAATAACTAAAGCAAAGAAGGTTGGAGATGTGACTCAAGTGGTAGAGCGCCTGTCTGGCAAGTAGGAGGCAGTGAGTTCACCACCACCCTGTACCACCACCACCAAAAAAAAAAAAAAAAGATTTTCTTTGGCAATATGCTTTCATATCTCTTCAGTAAACACCTAGCTATATAAATTACTAGGTCATAGAGTAGGCATGTGTTTAGTTTTAATAGAAACTTCCAGAACTTGCCTAAAAGTATCGTACCACAAGCGGTGTATGAGTTCATTCAGTTGCTCCATATTCTCACCAATAGTTGGCATTGTGAGAATTTTAAAGTAGAGCCATTCTGGTAGATGAGTATCAGTATCTCACTCTGACTTGAATTTACATATCCCCAAAGAATTAATCATACTGAGCATCTTTTCATGTGCTTATTCATAAATTTTCTTTGTGAAGTATCTGTTCAAGTCTTTTGCTCATTTTTATTCATTTATATTTTTATTTTAAATATTTTGGTGGTACTGGGATTTGAACTCAGGGCTTCATACTTGTTAGGAAGGTGCTTTGCCACTTGAGCCAAGCTTCCAGCCTTTTGCTCTGGTTATTTTGGAAATAGGGTCTAGTTTTTGTCCAGGCTAGCCTGATCCATGATCCTCCTATTTTATACTTCCTGCCTTCCTGGGATGATAGGTGCATGTCACCATGGCCAGCTTTTTTTCTGTTACAAACTTTTTCACTTGGGCTGGTATGGAACCATGATCTTCTGAACTCAGTCTCCTGCTTGCCTGGGATGATAAAAATGCACCACTGTGCACAGCTATTGGTTGAGGCAGGCTCTCATGATCTATTTGCCTGAGCTAGTCTCCCAGTCTCAGTTTCCTGAGTAGATAGGACTACAGGCATGAGCCATGGGTGCCCACCATATTTTTATGTTTTTATAGGAGTTCTTTATATATTACCAATAACAATCCTTTGTCAGATACATGTTTGGGTAATATTTTGTTCTAGTCTGTGGCTTGCTTATTCATTTTCTTAATGGTCTCTTCTGACACTTTTAAGTGGATCTTGTTTTCTGTTTCTTATTTAAGAAAAATGTACACCCCCATGTTGTAAAGACATTCTCCTGTTTTCTTCTATAAGCTTCATAGTTTTGACTTTTATGTTTCAGTCTATGAGCCATACTGAGTAAGTTATCTTGTAAGTGTGAGGTAGAAGTTGAAGTTCATTTTCTTCCATATGGATATTCAGTTGTTTGGCAAGTGAAATATTTGTTGAAAAGACTTTTCTTTCTCCATTGGATTGCTTTGATCCTTTTGTCAAAAACTGAATGACCAGTGCTGGAGGTATAGCTCAAGTGGTAGAGCACCTGCATAGCAACTGCGAAGCCCTGAGTTCAAACCCCAGTACTGCCACAAAATAAAATTGAATGACCTTAAGACTATGAGTTTATCTTTCAGCTCTTTATTATGGTCCAGTGCTATTTTGACTATCATTATACTAACGTTATAATATCTTAATACTTTATAGTAAAGCAGTGAAGTCAGATATAATTCTCCAATTTTGTTTTCCTTTTGAATATTACTTGGCCATTTTAGGACCTTTGCATTGTCATATAAATTTTAGAATAAGATTCTTTCTTTCTTTATTTTTAAAAAATCGTGGTGGGATTATGATTGGAATTGCAATGTATAATTGATCAGTTTGAGTCTTGACATGACTCT